GGGGGGAGATGGGAGGGGAGCAGGTACAGGGAGGGATGGGGAGCCGGGTGTGAGCAGCCTATGGAAGATTCCAACACCAGAACTTTTCCCAGAAATGGCTAGCCTGACATGATGATATCAGGGATGTGTATATACTGTATATATGTCACAGTATAGTGATCAGTCTGTACATTATAACTTTGTAGCAAATCAGAGAAAGGCTGCAGCAGGGGCAAGGGCCGTCTTTAATATTAACCCCTTCATGACTGATGCCCTTTTTTCATTTTTTTGGGGGGGGGGGTGAGAGCACCCCCCTGAAATTATGGCAGATAGCAGAGGAAGCAATAGCTTCTTTGCTATCTGCAGGTTTTGTTTTGTTTTTTAGTATTCTGATAGCTGCTGCTGTCAGAATAATAGTTTAAAAAAAACAGCATAGGAATGAGTAGTTAGATTCCTATTGGCTATTTCAATTTGCAATATCCAATAGTAAGCTGGCTATTGCACCCGCCCTCTACTGCTGTCAATCACCAGAAGAGGACCAGATGGGGAACGTCAGGTCCCCCTCTGCTGATTGACAGCAGCAATGGGCAGGTGCAATAGCTTGTTTTCTATTGGCTAATGCAAAGTAAAATAGCTAATAGGAATCTAGCTATGCATTCTTATGCTGTTTTTTTTTGGGGGGGGAGGGGATTTTGACTGACGGCTGCCGGCGGCTCCGATGTCAGAAAAAAAAAAAAACAGAGCAGGGAAAGGTTTACTCTGCTCGATTGAGCAGAGTAAACCTTTTCGGGAGAAAGTGTTCCTCTCCCGGGCGGCCGGGAGCCGCTATCCAATAGCGGGAGACTCCCGGAGCGTCCTGGAGAGTTGGGATGTCTGGTATAGACTCAGGACTCTGCACCGCAATAAACTCAGGACTCTGCAATGCAATGGAGTTTACATTACAGATTTTTGACCCATAAGTCTATATTATAGTAGAATGCATATGTTGAAAATGCAATGCACCATGCAGCAAGTGTTCGGGTCCATGCAATATAAATGCAATATGGATTTTACTAATTTAACCACATACTGGTACATTTATTCTGAACTATTTTTTAAATCATACAATACGATTTAAATTAAAAATCTTATTGTATGATTTATAAGGTAGCACAGAACAAATGTAGCACCTCATGTTTATATCAGTAAAATCGGTGATGCATTTACATTGCATGCCCCCGAACACTTGCTGCATGGTTCGTTGCATTTTTAACAAATGCCTCTGTGTATATTATATGTAGAATGCCTATGTTACAAATGCAGTACACCCTGCAGCAAGTGTGCGGGGGTCATGTAATGTAAAAGCAATAACGATTTTACTAATATAACCATGTATTGGTACCAGGGGCATAACTAGAAATCACAGGGCCCCATAGCAAAATTTTGTGTGGGGGCCTGTGATTTCTAGTTACACCCCTTGCAGAGTCCAAGTTGTCGCAATGGCGATAGTTCCGCCACTGATTGGTACATTTGTTTCTATACTACTTGATAAATCATGCAATACGATTTGTATTTACATCTAATTGTATGATTTATCCGGTAGTACAGAACATGGATAAATTAGTCAAATCTGTATTGCAATTACACAGCATATTACTAAACACATTGACTGAATATACATTTCAGCACATGTTTAGGGATATGCCTGTAAATACAACACAGTCCAGAATCTTCCTCCCCAGTCCTGCTCCCAGACCCCAGCCTGTGCGCTAAAGACAGATGTAAAAGTTAAATACAGATAAGTGTAAATAAAGATCAAGAAAATGATGGTAACTGTTTTTTTCAGATTTACCTGCGCTGTCCGGCTGTACCCTCCCCCCTCCTTCTCCTCCGGGCCTGCCGGATCTCTGTGACAGGCGTCGGGGGGAGGAGATCGCAGCAGGAGACACACGGACGCACGGTCACTGAACAGGCTGGCTGCTACTGAGAACGGATGTCCGTTCTGTCTCCCCACCGGCTCAAAACGCACAGCCCCTTTTCTGTTTGCCGCTGGGTGTGAAAGGGACAGCTGCTTTGGGCCCCTGTACGTTATGGGGCCCAGGGCAAGTGCCCCTTATGCCCTGCGGTAAAGACGGCCCTGGCAGGGGCTGTATCACAGGACGTTTTACAATATACAGCATCAGTATTTTTTTCAGAAAAGCTCCTCATTTTACCTTTAAAAAAAATCCATGAGCTCCAGTCATGTTAATAGGGTTGCCACTTTTTCTTCAAGCGAAACCCGAACACCCTTAGCGATGGGCGGACATTTGTTGGGGGAGAACGAGCTGCGGCTTATTCATACGTAAATAGCGCCACCCATTAATATGTAAATATCACAGTTGAGACTATTTTAACTAGGGGGCCAGTAGACTCTCTCCTAATTTTGGTTGCCCCCGTCTGCCTGACATCTTGTGTCCAGGTTACTGCTGCCATGAAACCCGGACAAAGCATTCAAAACCCGGACTGCCTGGGTGAATTCTGGACAGGTGGCAACCCTACATGTGACAGGAGGAAGCATTTCCTCAGTCTCCTCCCCCCCAGTGATCAGTCTGCTGCAGGCAGGAGGAAGCATTTTCTCGGTCTCCCCTCCCCCAGTGATCAATCTTTTGCAGGCAGTAGGAGGCATTTCCTCAGTCTCCTCTCCCCCAGTGACCAGTTTGCTGCAGGTAGAAGGAAGCATTTTCTCGGTCTCCCCCAGTGATCAATCTGTTGCAGGCAGTAGGAGGCATTTCCTCAGTCTCCTCTCCCCCAGTGATCAGTTTGCTGCAGGCAAGAGAAACGCTGGAGAGAATACAATGTGACAACTCTAGAGACCACTGGAGGGAATACGCAGATAAATGTCACCATCGCTACTACGGCAATTAAGTGACCATTATTTGTGTACTGGTGAGTAAAAATTTTTTAGTTTTCTCTTTTCCGAATTTCTGTATTATGCTTTTTGTAAGCAAAATATGTAATTATTTTGAATGTTCTTCAAATATTATCCTTGCGCATGGGAATCCCTGTAGTAGCAATGGTTACATTTATTTGCTAATTCCAACCGGTGTTCTCTATGATCCCCCACTTCTAATAATATTGGAACAACATTTGATCAAAAGAGAAAATTACCTAAGAAGAATGGTTGAGAGCTGCCAAGCAGAGTGATGGACTACAATCTCTCATCAATACAAATGAGTAAACTAAACATGAGATTGTAGTTCATTCCGGGGGGAGGGGAGGGGAGGGGGAGCTTGGAGCAGTGACTACTGTGGAGCTTTGGTGGGATAAAGCCTTCATTCCTAGGTCTACATTTTACCTGGTGCCTTCTCACTGGGATCTCATTATGGGTCTCACTCCCATGGTGGACTACAATCTCATGTTTAGTTTACTAATTGGTATCTAGATCGTAGTCCATCATGGGAGTGAGCTTGGAGCGGTGACTACTTTACAACACACACAGGGACCATGGGGAACATAAGTAGCCCCCCTCCAGAAGGAAGGACAGTGTCAGCACCAATTCAGAGATGATTGGAGGATCTACAGCCGAGTGATACACAAATAAGATGTTGTTGATAGTTAAGGGACTTGAATGTATTATTAAGATCTAACTCCGGAGTTTGGTGTCACTTTAGGATTTGCTGACAATAATGTTGGGAAATGAAGAACATCCACAAGTCAGATGAATCCCAGTTACAACGGAATATACAGTTTATTGTAAAACATCAGGAAGGTGCGGCACATAGGGAGGGGAGAGGACGGGGACTCGGGTTTGTCACGGGGAACTTAGAGTCAATGTGTTTTTCTTCTGGAACTCGGGAGGGAAATGGAAAAACCAACAGAGAAGGCTCGTGTAAAATTAGACCATTAATCAGATATTCCGCAGCTGCCCGAGATCCCACTAGAAGCCGAGAGCGCTGGTGTTATATAATGACCGGGAGCACAGTACAATTCTAAGGGCTGCTATACGTGGCCTACAACTTACACATGGCACAAGATGTAGAGTTCTTAGGAACTGTGTAACATGATAAATAGTCCTCTCAGAAATGATATTTTTTTTGTAGGAGGAGACTGGAGGGCTAATGTGTCTTAGATATCCTGGATGCTCCAATGGCAAGATCTCACCGCTCTAGTTGCTGGCTAAGTTCCTATCCACAGGGCCGGATTTCCCACAAGGCCAAGCAAAGCCCGGCCTCGGGGCAGCAGGGAGTAGAGGGGCAGCAGGGCTGTGGAATTCCTATCTCCCCATGCCCGGGACATGCAGTTCCGGGAGCCGGGCGGGTCGTTGTTTTCTACATTTAGCCCTTGAGGCACCTGGCCTTGGGGCAGCAGAGAGAGTAAATCCGGCCCTGCTTGTCCACCTGGGAATTTTGGGTGTCCCCCGTCCGCCTTTGTGTGTTCTTGTTCCTTGCATTACATTCTAAAATAAATACAAAATCCAGCAGGGATGGTGGGAGGTCATCATAATAGGCACATCAGTTGTGCAGACCAGGGGGAGATCTCACCAATAGAGTCCAAACACAGAAATTGCTCACTGCATGTTCATTACGAAGGTCCTTTCTTTTCGAGGGGCGTAACTACAGCTTTACATCTCTTTTGCATCTGACGTCAGCCTTCCTACACTGTAGACTTTACAGAGGATAAGGGTTGTAATCAACCACATGAACCCTTAATGATACAGTAGTGTGATATCTTCACATGCTCTATATTTATTGTACCTCAACAACCTAATGGGGCCCCCTTCCACCCCCGGGCCCCGTAGAAGCCACCCGGGCTGCTATGGCTATAGTTACATCACTGTCCTTTTCTGTTCCAGCATGACTGTGCCCCTGTACACAAAGCCAGCTCCATAAAGATTTGGTTTAAGCATTTGTGGTGTGGAGGCTCATGGGGCTCCATAGCAAAAATGTGATGGGGGGGGGGGGGCCTGACTAATGACTCCCAGATCTCAATGACACCTCTGACACCATCTGACGTCAGCCTTCCTACACTGTAGACTTTACAGAGGATAAGGGTTGTAATCAACCACATGAACCCTTAATGATACAGTAGTGTGCTATCTTCACATGCTCTATGTTTATTGTACCTCAACAGCCTAATGGGGCCCCCTTCCACCCCCAGACCCCATAGCAGCCGCTTGGGCTGCTATGGCTATAGTTTCACCACTGTTCTTTTCTGTTCCAGCATGACTGTGCCCCTGTACACGAAGCCAGCTCCATAGAGCCCTACCCTACTGAACACATTTAGGATGAATTGGAACACCAGTTGTGAGCCAGGTCTTCTTGAACAATATTAGTACTTGACCTCACAAAGGCTCTTTTGGCTGAATTGGCAAAAATTCTCCCAGACACACTCCAAAATCTACTGGAAAGCCTTCCTAAAAAGAGTGGAAGTTGTTTAAAATGATAAAAGGGGCCCACATTCATATTAATGGCCTTAGTTTTCGAAATTGGATGTCCAATAACCTCAGATAGGTGTGATGATCAGGTGTCTACACATTCCTGGCCATGTACTTCCCATGTGCCTTTATAGAATGGGGCCTCTTCAGTGCTCCAATGTCTTTGCAGGTTGTACACTGTACCCAATAACTTGCATTTGAGGTCTACAAGTGTGCCCGTGTATGTGTATGGAAGGGGGGGCACCTGTCCCTTAAACCATTGGCTCTTCTAGAATTTTTTAATGGATGTGTATACTACAATTAGAGATGAGTAAGTTGATTTGCCTACACTGGGATTTGACCCACATCAAGTTCATTCATGGACACCTGGAGGATCATAAATCCACAAGACCTGATGGTTACCAGCCTCATCTACCAGCTGAAGTGATTTGCTTCTCCCCCATTGCCAAGTGCACTGTTAAAATGTTTCTTTCAAGTTCATTCTGTACCCTCGGAGTTCAGTCTCCCCAGAATAATTTTTTCTCCAGTTCACAAGCTAGTAAACCAGTTGGGAAGCCATATTGCACCATATGTATAATTAGAACCAAAATCTTTCTTTCATTTTGGATGTGGAGAAGAGATAAAACCCAAGCAGGATTATTTTTGATATCTGTGTCACATTAGGGAGATTTCTCTTCACTTCACGTAGAATCAACAGGAAGTGAAAGAAAACACGAGGGAAGTCCTCTCTTGGCAGTTTTGATGACAACTCATAGTTATGGATCTTTTCGGGACAAATAGGATGAATCTCCTCTGCGGGGACACAGACAGCAATGAAAACTTGACGGTGGTTCTAACCCCTCACCACCTTAGATACACTTCAAAGCCGTGGTTCTCAACTGGTGGGTCACGCCCCAAAAGTGGGTCTCAACCTCATGCTCAGTGGGTCTCCGCGTGCCTTCCACTGCGCTAGGTGAGAGGCTCCTCAGCCTCCCCCTAGCGCAGCACTGTCAGTTCTCAGGCTGGGCAGCCATTCAAGATATGCAGAGTGTCAGCTTGAGGTGGGGTGGGCTGGTGGTATGACCGCAAATGAGCTCCATCCATACCTGCATTGCTTACAGCTCCCTCACATGCGCTGTAGAGGTGCCTGGACTGGAGTGATGTCACATTCTAGCTCCCAGCTACTCCACAAGGTGCACAAGAGAGCTGGCAAGCAATGCACACATGGATGGAGCTCCGTCACAGCACACTGGACCCCAAGCTGAGGATCCACTCCAGTTCTTGGAAGGTAGGGAGGCTGGGTGGATCTTAACATTTTTGGGGGAGTATGTATGTGAGTGTGCGAGATTGTGTCTGTGGTTCTGTGTGTCTGTCAGTGTTTTTGAGGGCCCTTCACACTAGTACAGTGCTTTAATCGCACAGTCCCGTACGATTAACACACTGTACCATGCAATCACACCTGCCATGCATTCTGGTGTGGGAGGTGCGTTGCGTTGCCATTTGTTTGAATAGCACCCCAATAGTTTGATCACCTGTTTGAATAGCACCCCAAACAAGCCACAGTTCGATCACCCGCACCGGAATGCGCAGTACCGCAATGCCGTGCGTTCCAGGGCAGTGCGACTTGGGTGGAGACTTAATGAACAAGGACAAATGTGGGTCCTGAGCATACACAGGTTGAGAACCACTGCTTTAAAGAGTACCTTTACAAGGGAAAGCGTGCAATTTGACAGCTAACATCTAAAGTGCCTGGAAGGTCCACATCTTGGTGCATTCAGTCATGGTAAAGGTGACTTCAGCTCTGAAATTGAAGTTTTTTTTGCTGTTCTTTCCCATCATCCAACAAACCATTTATTTCCAGATTTCTTGATAACTAGATACAGTATGTTCCCATCCTGGGAAGTTCTAAATATGGATATCAGTTCTAAAGTGTCTAAGTAGGAACGTTTTTCAAGTTTTGGGTGCTACCCAGCAGACAGAGAGGATTGAGTCGTGTTCTAAATAAAGTTTATATTTTGTTGGAACAAAACCAATTTCAGCTGCTTGTGACCGTTTTCTTCCACTTGCCATTTTCACTGGTGTCCTCTAAAGTTTGTTCTGCCAGGTGATGGTAACGCATGGAGGCTGGTGATAGCCTGTCTCTTCTGATGACCAGAAACGGAAGCCCGGGTGTTAAGCTGGGGTTGCAGCAGTATGATATAGACTTTGGGTGAGAAGATGCAAAACAAAAGCCCGGCACTGGAAGATAAAATGGCAAACATCTCTGTTGCCACGGCCAGCTTGCCCTGTGTGCTGACATAGGCTGGAACAAAGGATATCCAGACGCTGAGAAACACCAACATACTGAATGTTATATGAGTTGCCTCATTAAAGGCTCCCGGTAGCTTCCTGGCCAAGAATGCCACCACAAAACAAACAGTGGACAGTAGTCCAAGGTAACCAAGCATGAACCAAAACCCGAGGCTGTCATTGCACTGGATAACTATTTTTCCCAATACACTTCTGGTGTCATTCTCTGGAAATGGAGGGTCTACTAAGGACCATGAGAGGCAAATGACTATTTGGACGGTTGTGCAATACATGGCAAACAGAATAGGCCACCGCAGTCCCTTTGGCACCCTGAGACATCCACCTGGGCGATTGGCACGGAAGGCCAAAACGACAATGACTGTCTTGGTCAGGAGGCACGATATGCAGAGGGTAAAGGTCACACCAAATGCGGCTTGTCGAACAAAACAGGTTTGCTTTCCCGGTGAAGCAAGGAGCAGAAGGGGGCACAGAAAGGAGAACGTGAGGGAAACCAGGAGAATGAAGCTAAGAGCACAATTATTAGCACGGACCAGAGGGGTGTCTCGGTTCTTGATGAAGAGCAGGAGGACAAGAGCTGGCAAGATGGAGCCGATGATGGACGTAGTACCTAGAGAGATGCCGAGAGGCTCGGAAAGGGTTAGCAACTCCACCTCCCGAAGCACACACTGCTTTCGAGAAGTATTTGGCCATTGGTCCTCTGGGCAATAAAAACAGTCAACAGCATCTGTGAGGGAACAATGCAGCAACGTCAGTGGTATGCCATATAAGTCATTGCCCCAAAATAAACTGAAAAACTAATGAAACACTCAAAAATGAGCTGGCAGTCATATCTGAAAGATCTGGGGAAAAAAGAAAGACTTATAACAAGTAAGTATGGAGTGTTCTCACAAGCAGGCCCGGATTCCCCACAAGGCCACCGAGGCCAGGCCTCGGGGAGGCAGGTTGCAGAGGGGCGGCAGCGGTGTGCAATCCCCCGACGCCCAGAACATAAAGTTGCCTTCTTTATTTAGTCCTGCTTTGGGAAGGCAGGACTAAATGTAGTGTGGGGAAGCCGCTTGTTCGTTTACAAGTGATCGCGGGGATGTCGCTGCGATCACGTGTAAAATGTGTGCAGCCTGTCCGTCCTCTCCCCCCCCTGCACCTACCTCTCTCCTCTGGTTCCGTCTTCCCCCCCGGCTGCCGAGTCTCTCCTCACTGGCCGCCGATGTGGGGAGCAGAGCGGCCGGGTTGAAACTAACCCTGACGCTCCGTGTACACAGTGAGAGGGGAGAGCTGTGCTGTGCTCTTCCTCTCTCAGCTGTCACAGGAGTTCCAGCACAGCGCTGTGCTAGAACTCCTGTATTGGAGGTGACAGGGTCAATAAAGATGATTAAAAAGTAAAAAATAATAAGGAAAAAATTATTAAAAAAAAGAAAATATTTAGAAAAAAATAAATAAGCAATAATAAGATAAAAAAGAAACAATAAAAATAAAACTAACCCAGCCGCCCCTGCCATCTGGTTGCAGCTCGGATGTCTGCAACATCATGGGCATCCTTGCATGGGCGTTCCGAGGCAGGGTGTCACCCG